TCATGTCGATAAAGTATAATAGGGTAAATCCTGTATAGTGCTTGCGTAAAGCAAGTAGTGCATACACTTGTAGCTGTTATGTATCTTTATAAGTCATTGCAAGCCCTCTTGCTCTCCCGACTCACCCCGGTTCAAAGCAATATTCCCCCGCACAGCCGCACTTCCACATACATCAGTTACCTGATGTCTAAGAATGTTTGACACAAAGGTGTGTGACTTTTCAAGTCTCTGTATTTAGATCAATGTGCTCAATAATGTGTATTTGGCCTTCACTGTGTATATTTTGATTATACTATGTTGTAAATAAAATACAAATATTCAAAACCCCCATTATTTTCCTCTCCTCACATTCTTTATAACCTGCCTCACATTCACACAGTGACAACACAGATGGCCCACGAAGGGCCCTTTGTCTCTCAGGTGTGAATCACTAAATATTCATGGCTATGGTCACTCCTTGCATACGGCCTTTCTAACACAAAACAAAAGTTAAATCAGTATATTGTTTTCTGTGAATGAGTGAGCAGGGTGAAAAAAAGTCTACGACATCCATTTTTTAAAAGTCTTGTGAACCAATGTTCTCTATGTGTTTTATGACTTTATTTTAGTGACTTAAATTTTTTAGTTTTTCACTAACCACATATAAACGTTGTTTTCTCAAAAACACAAACATGTACATTCATGCTGCTCACATATTACTGTAGGACAGTTTGTGCTGATTACAGTGTATTCAAATTTTATCCATTAATATGTTTTAAGATACTGAAAAAACACAAATGTCAGGGCATGACCAAACCTATCCAGGGCACCAAAACCCCCTCAGACCCCAGGGGGTTAAGAATTTTAAAGTACTCACAAAAAAAATTTAATGATTCAGTTTTTTATGAAAATATTTAACTAGGCACACATCAGCTGCTCTGAGGTACAAGAGTTTGTTCAGATAGATTTATTTAAAAAATGCTAATTCGTTCCATAATGAAATATCTACTGTGTTTTGCTCTGGTACGCTCAAAGGATAATTTTGTTGTGGCCCTGAAAAACTATTTTCATAAGCAACATAAAAAGAGAGAAAGTAACTGGCAATATTGCCTCTAAAATGTATGTTATTGAACTGTTGAATCAGACTCATAATCATGCTGTTGATCTGAATATCAGCACAACTTTGATTACCAGCAGCCTTGTGCCTACAGACCAATCACTGCCATGCTGATATTTGAACAACAGTACTCTTGATCACATGATATTGCTTAATTATTTGATAAACAAGCGTTAATTTATTTTACTACCATTGTTCCTCTTTATCTATGTTGTAACCAGTTTTTTTATATTTCAGTCATAACTTTCAACTGATCCAAAGAATGCTTAAATTAAATCTGAGGAAGAAGAGTCAGTGTCTGCATGAAGGAACAGCGACGCAGGAAAACCCAACTCTCCTGAATGAGATCTACACAGAGCTCTACATCACAGAGAGTGAGAGTGGAGAGATCAATAATGAGCATGAGGTGAGACAGATTGAGACACAATCCAGGAGAGCAGCCATAGAGGACACAGCCATCAAATGCAATGACATCTTTAGACCTTTACCTGAACAAGACAAAGCCATCAGAACTGTGCTGACAAAGGGAGTCGCTGGCATTGGAAAAACAGTCTCTGTGCAGAAGTTCATCCTGGACTGGGCAGAAGGGAAAGAGAATCAGGACGTCCAGCTCATATTTCCACTTCCTTTCAGAGAAATCAACCTGATGAAGGACAAAACACTCAGTCTTTCAGATCTTCTATCAAACATGAGAAAGACTATGAGAAGACAGTCAAAGATGAAGACATGATTGTCAAACTGGGAAAACTGGCTTTTGAGCAGCTTGTGAAAGGCAACCTGATCTTCTATGAGGAAGACCTGAGAGAGTGTGGCATTGATGTGACAGAAGCAGCAGTGTACTCAGGATTGTGCACTCAGATCTTCAGAGAGGAGTTGGGCTTGTATCAGGGTCAGTTCATCAGAAGAGATCAGAAGCAGAGTCCAGCTGTGTGTCTGGAGTGACACGTCTATGAATAAACCATTAGATTATAAGAGTGAAGATACAAAGACTGATCTCAGGTCTAATATTTCTGTAAAAGATTATTTGATTATGAAACAGAATACATTAACTTAGCTTATTTAATAATGCAGTATTTAAATTTTCCAGGCATGAAGTCCCCAGGTTTAGATAAAATCTGCTGGAGAAGTTTGAGTGTCTGTATGAGGGAACAACGACGCAGGAAAACCCAACACTGCTGAATGAGATCTACACAGAGCTCTACATCACAGAGAGTGAGAGTGGAGAGATCAGTAATGAGCATGAGGTGAGACAGATTGAGACACAATCCAGGAGAGCAGCAACAGAGGACACAGCCATCAAATGCAGTGACATCTTTAGACCTTTACCTGGACAAGAAAAAGCCATCAGAACTGTGCTGACAAAGGGAGTCGCTGGCATTGGAAAAACAGTCTCTGTGCAGAAGTTCATTGTGGACTGGGCTGAAGGGAAAGAGAATCAGGACGTCCAGCTCATATTTCCACTTCCTTTCAGAGAAATCAACCTGATGAAGGACAAAACACTCAGTCTTTCAGATCTACTTCATCTCTTTTTCCCTGAAACCAAAGAAATGGAAATATCCAGTGATGAATATAAAGGGCTGTTCATCTTTGATGGTCTGGATGAGTGTCGTCTGTCTCTGAACTTTAAGAGCGAAGTGAAACTGTGTAATATATCTGAATCAGCCTCAGTGGACGAGCTGCTGATGAACCTCATTGTGGGGAACCTGCTTCCCTCTGCTCTCATCTGGATCACCTCCAGACCAGCAGCAGCTGATCTCGTCCCCTCTGAGTGCGTCCATCGAGTGACAGAGGTACGAGGCTTCAATGAGCCACAGAAGCAGGAATACTTCAGGAAGAGCATTGGAGTCCAATCAGACTCTCTTACGAGAACTAATGACACAGACAGGAAGCTGCTCCTACAACAAAGAGGAAACATTTGAGTTCATCAAGCAGAAGATCAGGGAGAATCACTCTCCAGAGAGATCCATCAATCTCTTCCACTGTCTGAATGAACTGGGAGATGATTTACTGATGCAGGAGATCCAGGATTATCTGAGATCTGGACAAATAGGAGAAACCAAACTCTCCTCTTCACAGTGGTCAGCTATGGTTTATGTGCTGCTGACATCAGAGCAGAAGATGGATGAGTTTAATCTAAAACAGTTTATTGGAGCCCAAAATACAGCACATGAAGTTCTTCAGAAGCTGCTGCCTGTGATTAAAGAATCCAGATCAGTTCAGTAAGTCACACTGACAACAATCACTACACTGATAAAACATGATCACATTTAGCACTTTAGTATTTACTTTCTTACCAAACCAGTAAAAGGAAAAATTATATATCATTTATATCAGTGTTTCCTGAACTGAGAGACTGAAGAGTGTCATTGTTCTCTACAGGTTGTGTAAATGTGGAGTCACAGATGAAGGTTGTGCTGCTCTGGCTTCAGCTCTGAGATCAAACCCCTCACACCTGAGAGAACTAGATCTGTCATTTAATAAACTAGGAGCGTCAGGAGTGAAGCTGCTCTCTGATGGACTGAAGGATCCTCGCTGTAAACTGGAAACACTGAGGTAAGATTATATAAATGTGTCAGCATCCTCTCCCATTTTCTTTCTATGGTCGATAATGAATAAAATAAACACAAAAACTAAATAAAAATCTAAAATGTGTGTGTTGAAGATGATTTTGTTTAGTCTTCATTAGATTAATTCAAAAGTTTTTGACAGTTTTATTATGCAAGCATTGTTCTCAATTTATGCAAAATATATGCACACGTGTGAATTGGATTTGTGTGTGTGTGTGTATTTAAAATCGTTCCTGGTCCCTCATACTCTTTAGCAAATCAGATGTGAGCTTATCATTCAACCAATCATAACCCGCTGAGAGTACAGGACTCAAGGAGCACAGCTTTGTGCACCATATACGCAATATGACTAAACACCTTCTCTTGCAGACTCTATTTTGGCAGAGAGGTACATAAATTACTTACTCAATCTGCTCCATCCTTAATTGGACCTAAGGCCCTTAAATAAATGACATACCCAAAATAAAAAGATTGCTGCTCACGAGTCATTCTGACTAGACACATAGCCAACATAGTTGCTTTAGTTTCCCCCAGATTTATATTGCACATGAGAAACACATAACTATGTTAAATATATGAAGTAAATGTTTAAATTAGGGCTGTCAGTCGATTAAAATTATTAATCTAATTAATTAACATGATGTTTCGATTAATTAATCGCAAAATAAATTTGACACTGAAAATACCCACAAAAGGTTATTTAAAGATTTTTTTGTCAAATGAGAAAGTATCAAGTAGACAATACAAATTGTAGCTTTAGAAATATTTTATTTGATTCAACAAAAAAATAATTAACATTTTCGATTAATTAATCGCAAAATAAATTTGACACTGAAAATACCCACAAAAGGTTATTTAAAGATTTTTTTGTCAAATGAGAAAGTATCAAGTAGACAATACAAATTGTAGCTTTAGAAATATTTTATTTGATTCAACAAAAAAAAAACCTTCCTTTATGTTCCACAAAAGAAAGGTTTGAAACGACATGAGAGTGAGTAAATGATGACAGAATTTTAAAAAAATTCTGTGCCCTTTAATGTTTTTATTATTGTTATTGTTATTATTATTATTAATATTAGTATTATTATTATGATACTCTAAATAAGAAACTAAATCTGCCAGGAGGTGGTGGTAAATGTCTTCAGTCGGTTCAGTCGGT